ATCTATCTATCTATCTATCTATCTATCTATCTATCTATCTATCTATCTATCTATCTATCTATCGGTAGATGTCTTATTATGTTGCATAGAGTGGTCACAGACTCTTCGGTATCTTCTGCTTTAGGTTCCCAACTAGCTGAGACTACAGGTATGAACTACTCCAAACCTAACCACAGCTAGAAATTTAATTTCTTTATGTGAAGTTCAGAAAACAAAGGAAGAAGGAACTAAAAAAATTTAACTGTAAAATTGTAACTGAGCTAAGGTTTCATGCCAATTTTTTGGAGGTTTTTCCCTTTTTAGCTGGTCTTCATGCTGTAGAAATAAAGTTAAACCTTTAAATGCATAGGAAAATGTATGTATTGCACTTTGTTATGTTTATTTATTGAAATATGTTTCTATACTACTGGTAAATAAGTCTGAATTTAATATACTATTAATATGTGATAGTTGTGCTACAAATGTCTTCTATTTTTAAAAGTAATTGCAGTAAAGTATATAGAACATAGACATTGCCATTTTGACTATTTTAAGCATAAGGATTAGTGGCAGTAGGTATTTTTAAAGTTACGCACCTGTCACCTTTGTCCGTCTCTAGAACAGTTTTTTTTTTTTTTTTTTGTCGTTGTATGAATGAACTATGCTCATTAAATATATTATTCCTCATTCTTCTCCTGCCAGGTTCATAACAACTCTTCTCTTTCTGCTTGAATGATTTTGCCTGTTTCTGACATTCATGGAAATAGAGCCGTAATATTTGTACTTTTATTTGCCACACACAGACAAGTATCAGAAATTGCTTTTCCTGTTTTTGGTGGATACGATTTCACTGTATATTTATGGCATATTGCCATGGGCTCTTTTCCAACATGTGGCTGTTAAGACTATCTATGTATGAATATAATTGTTTAAGTATATGATACCTTACATTTGGTTATTTTGTATGTACCCAGAAAAGAAATTGCTGAATGGTATAGTAATTCTCTGGAACTTTTGGAGCACTAGAGATGAAGTTGTGGGGAGTTGAACCTTGTACTTTTCACATGATAATCCATATACTGTATTACAGAGCTACATTTTTAGTCCAGCCTTTGATTTTCTGGGGAAACACCATAGTACTTCTACAGTGGTTATGTCATTCTACATTCCCACCAACGTTGTATCAAGAGCTCCAATCACTCCATAGATTCTTCACCAGTGACTGTCTTTTACTTTCTGAAATACTGATCTTACCCTGTATCTTATATATTAGATATTGATCATCTCTTGTATTTATTTAGATATTAGGTTGGGTGCTTAAAAATGATTTTGCTCAGTTGGAAAGTGAAACATTTTATTAAAATACATGACAATGAACAAAAACTTCAATATATATAAACTTCAATATATATAAACTTCAATATATATAAACTTCAATACACACACAGGCACGCACGCACGCGTACCATTAGTCCCGGCTATTTCCTAAGCTGAAGTAGGAGGGCTTTCTTTATCTTTTTTTAGATTTTTTATTATGTATACAGTATTCTGCCTTGCATATGTATTTGCTTACCGTATGGGCCACCAGATCCCATTATAGATGGTTGTGAGCCACCATGTGGTTGCTGGGAATCGAACTCAGTACCTTTGGAAGAGCAGCCAGTGCTCTTAACTGCTGAGCCATCTCTCCAGCCCCAGGAGGGATTTCTTGAGCCAGCTTGGCTAACAACAAGAGAGAGACCTGTCTCAAAAAAAAAAAGATAGTAAGATTCACTGAAGGACATAAAAGAAGATTTGAGTTTGAAAAGCTTTTAAAGCAAAATAGTACTTAAAGAACTATAGTCTCTTTACATATTTCTAGTTAAGATTATTTACATAAGAATGACAAAGGGATCTTTAAAGAAATTTTAAAGAAATCACTGTAATTTAATCTATATTTGAAAATTATTGTCTAAGAGGAGTCATTGGAGCTGGGATGAGCCCAGTGGAAGAGGTAGAGCACTTATCTAGTATATGTAAGGCTTTGGGCTCCATTCTTATCTCTGCTGTGTGTCTGTGTAAATGTGGTAAGCCAGCAGAATTTTAATTTAAAAAATAAAATAGGGAGTAGCCCAATAGGATTTTATATCTTGTATGCTGTACTAACTTTAAAATTCGGATGCTGTTGCTTAAGTACACTAAATGAAAATAGAGACAATATTTTTAAATCAGGATTCTACTGTAGCTTTCCTTGGTAAAACTAATCAGTAAATGTGTTTTGTTTTTTGTTTTTTGTTTTTTTTGTATCTTTTGTTTTTTTGGCAAGTAGTTTGTATTGAGTAATGGGTACAACCCAGTAATCTGAGTGTGGTAGTACAGACCTATAATCCCAGTACTTGATATGTTGAGGCAGACAGGGTGGATCAACTGTGTAACATTTCTGTCTGTAAGTAACTACAAAGATGGCTGAGAATGTAGTTTCATACTGTACTGCTTGCCTACTATGTTTTATGCACTTATTTCAATTTCCAAAACTTTTAAATCAGTTATTCAGCTTTATTTAAAAAAAAAAAACCTCAATATTTTTGTCATGAACCTGGAAAGCAAATGTTAGATTAGAACATTAAGATATTTGCGTCCAGGGCACTAATTTCCATACATTAGTTAAAAGTATAGAAATTTAGTAGGAAATGAAGCAAAAGTTACACATCAGATCTTTGACCCTAAAGAAAATAGAAATTTAACCATATGAAAATATATTTAGTTTTTTGCAGAGATATCACATTTAAATGAGATTTCCCCACTTTTTTTTTAAAACATCACTGGAAAAGATAAAAAAAAATAGTAATACACTACATTGTTGATCTTATATAAAATAAGCCTATATATAGTGTTAGAATAGAATTAATTGGTCTGTAGTAGTTAGTTTCTTGTCAGCTTTACACAAACTATAGTCACTTGGAAAGAAGGAACCTCAATTGAGAAATTACATCTGTGAAATTGTCCAGTGGTCATGACCGTGGGGCATTTAAAAAAAATGTTTACTGATGTAGCAGGGCTTACTGCACTGTCGTCACTGCTATTACTAGGCAGGTGGGCCTGGATTATGTAACAAAAGTAGCTGAGTAAGCCAGGAGAACCAAGCCAGTAAGCAGCCTTTCATCATGGTCGTCTCTGCTTCTGTTTCTGCTCAAGTTTCCTGTATTTAGTTCAAGCCTTAGCTTCCCTCTATGATGGATTATAAGCTATAAGATACAATAAACTGTTTCCTCCTCTAAGCTGGCTTTGGTCAGTATTTTTTCAATATAATAAAGAGACTGTCTTGGCAAAATCTGTTATATTTAAAATGCCCACATGTGGTTTGTGATAGACTTTTAAGTATTAATAGAAGAAATATTAAATTAACATTAATAGTAGCCATTATTAGTATTTTATTTGGATTATCTCATTGCCTATAGTAGCTTGTGAAATGGGTATGGTTATTATCCCCATTTATACGAAATGCACCGCGTTGCAGTAGCTATAAGGAAGGTAGTTTAAATAGCTACAAAAATCTTACCAAGATGTAATGTTCATTTACATTCTTTTTTAAAAAGTCTAACAAAAATTTAGGAAATCATGGGCCAGAAGTTTTCCCCATGGGTAAAAGCATAAGTATGACAACCCAAGTTCAGTGTCCAGAGTTTACAAAAAAGGTACATACAAAGAATGAGAAGCAGAGATAGAAAGAGGTGTGACAAGTCTTGAAATGCAATGGAGTAGTAGAGCAAGAAAAACTTGTCTAAACTCGCAGAAGTTGTTCTTTGATGGCCACACATTTATTGTGACACCGGTTTATGTATGGGGAGCAGGGAAGAAGAGAGGAAGGGAGGGCAGAAACGGACCAGAGAGAGAGAGAACACTATTCTCTTAACTTTAAAAATTTTTATTTTTATTTCCTGTAATCTATGTTTGTGTGCTTGCTCTCTTCTTTCCTCCTTTCTTCTCTCCCCTGCTCATAAACCTAGGCTTACTTTGAACCTCCTATACAGCTAAGGATGACCTTGAAAGTCTAATCCTCCTGCCTCTATTTCTCAAGTGCTGGGTTAATAGGTAAAGGCCCAACATGCCTAGCCTGGATTCATTCTTAATTGTACATCACAACAGTTATCTTTGACCTTAATGACACACTAAGCAATTTTGTTGGCAGAGTTTTTCCAAAAAAAATATACTCAAATTATATTTATTTTTAACATAAATTTGTGAAATTAAGTACATAAAAATTTGATAGTTATGATATTGCTAAAATCTATTATTGTTTTCTTATCAGGAGTAGTGAAGAAGTTCTTACTGCAGAAGACTGTGAAAATGTCTATCATCTGGTTTATTCAGCTCACCGGCCAGTAGCAGTAGCAGCTGGAGAATTTCTCTACAAAAAGTAAATTTATATTCCTGTTACTCTTTTACTATTATAATGTTATTTAACAATTCAGGTAAAGCTCTTGATATATGATCACAGACACTAGTCAACAAATATTATATAGTGACTTTTAAAGAGAAGATATTTAACCAACCAAACGAATCTCACATCTTTGTTATGATTTTTATTAAACGGTTTTTGGCGTGTAGTAAGTATTAGGATATTTTCTTGGTATGAAATTAGCACGAGTTTTCTGTTAATTGATATCCAGCATTAGTTCTTTGTTTTTCCCCACTATCAGTTAGAATAGGAACATTGTGTTAAGATAATGTTCAAAGAAGAAATGGGAATGATATTTTACATTTTAGAGAAAAAAATTATACTTGTGCATAAATATTTTAGGTCACTTACTGTATTTTATGAAAGGAAGAAATTGTATAAAATAATATAAGGTTTCCGAAAAATTTATAACTCAGCATAACTAACTTTAGAATGCAAAGGACTTAGGACTGTTAGAATTGAAATGAACGTTTTGTATCGAGTATTTCCTTGATACTTTAATGCTTACCTATCCAGTTTTACATTCTGTTGTAAGATGCTTATGTATGGAATACACAGTTAATTTCTATGATTAGCAAATATGGTTTTCATGTAAGTATTTACCTTTGCCTATAGGCTCTTCAGCCGTAGAGATCCAGAAGAAGATGGAATCATGAAAAGAAGGGGAAGACAAGGTCCAAATGCCAACCTTGTTAAGACTTTGGTTTTTTTCTTCCTTGAAAGTGAGGTTAGTTTATATTATTTTGTACTTAATTTCAAAGTTTTGAAAGATATTAAAATAGTGTATATCTAAAATCTTACAGATAACTACTAAATGCTGCTTAGATATAGTTATTCTAATTTTTAACAGTGCATTCTAATTTAATAGATTGTTGTTCAGTAATTATTGGTTATTAATATTTTTGGAAATTATTACCAACTGTACTCCTTGTTACTGACTGCAATCTTGGTTAAGTTACTTAGTCTTTCTAAGCCTCCGTTTCCATTTTAAAAAGTTGGTAGGAATTTTTATTTTAATTAATGCTGAGACAATCCCTGTAAAAGAACAAATTAGAACATTGAAAATTCTCAGATGTTCATGTTTATTATTGTTGTTTGAGACAGGATCTCACACTGTATTCTAGGCTGGCCTGGAACTCAGTATGCACGTCATACAGACCATGATCTTGTGCAAACCCATGTCCTTTTGCCTTAGCTTCAAGTGGGATTTTTTGTTTGTTGGTTGGTTGGTTTTGGTTATTTTGAGACAAGATTTCTTTGCACAGCCCTGGCTGGCCTGGAACTAGCTCTGTACAACAGGCTAGCATCAGACTAAAAGTTCTACCTGCCCCTGCCTCCCTAGTGCTGGTGTTAAAGGTATATGCCACCATGCCCTTCTCTGTCTTAGCATATGTGTTGAGATTACACATGTGAGCCATACAAGTAGCTTCATGACTTGTATTAGTATTAATATGGAAACAGATTTCCATTAGTCTCAATTAAGTTAGCATTCTGTCATTTTTGTGAGATCTCAAAATTTAATTTTATTTAGAGTTCATATTATATATTTGCTTGTTTTTGTCTTTCATTATGTAAATGTGTTGAATTATATTTTTAGAAAAATTATCAATCAAATATGATATTCCCATGATTCTTTTTGTATATTGCTAAATCTAGTTTGCTAATTATTGAGCATATTCCCTCTGTATTAATATAATTTACTTGTATATAGTCTTTCAAGTTTTAGAAATTAATAATATTCTCCAAAAACTTTGGTCTATGATTAGCTTCAACCCTTCAAACAATTTGGAAAACTGTGGTCTTTTACCTTTAGAATGAAGAGAATGATACCCTTATAAACTGAGTCTCAAAGGAAAATGTATTTTATTGCTTTACCTATTATCACTCCCATGCAGTTACAGTAAAATCGTAGTCCACTTAAAACTTAAGAAAAGTTAACTGATGTAAACAATAAGTATGTATTTAATCTTATTGTAAAGTAGTCTTTACCTTAATATGTTATAAGGTACTAATGCTTTAACAAAGTTTACTTTTGTACAGCAAACTACAGTCATTCTCTCCGTGTTCTTTAATCTATTCGCTCTCAAGAACAAATTGGCTGTCAACAAAGCATTTGTTCTTTTGTCCTAAGACAGTGTGCTTTTCGTCTAAGAGCTTGTTGTTTTTAACTTTTAGTTACATGAGCATGCAGCATACCTTGTGGATAGCATGTGGGACTGTGCCACCGAGCTACTGAAAGACTGGGAATGTATGAATAGCTTGTTGTTAGAAGAGCCACTTAGTGGAGAGGAAGGTAAGAGTATTTAATTATGTTGTTATTGTTTGTCCATACTTTTTTGGAAATAGATTTTTGTCATTCTTTTAGTTTTTGTTAGTGTTATTTCTGATAATTGTTTTTGGTAGTGTTGGGAATCAAGGTCAAGACCTTGTACATTGTTGAGTGAATACTAAATCTAAAATACAGTACCTGTGTCATATTCATATATATGAATATTTTTTTTGATGTACAAAGATGTAATTCCAATCAAAAATAACTAGATGTGGTGACACATGCCTGTGATACCAGCACTTGTGAGGATGTGGCAGGAGGATAGTGAATTCTATTTTAGCCTGAACTACATAAGTTCTAGGCTAGCTGGGTTTTGTTTTGAAACCCTGTCATATATATATATATAAATTCTGTGTATATGTTGGTTGGGTCCATGCTTTCTTTTGCCTATGTATATATACAGTGAACGTACTCAGAATTCTGAAATTTAGAAACATTAGATTTAACTTGTTCTGACCTTTTCTGTGATAATGGGATTTTCTTTTGTACATTAGTTTAGTTCCTGTTCATATGCAGATAAACTTACATAATAATTTCAATGGGCGTATATGGAAAAGAAATAGGTTGGTTAACTCTGATTTTCTCTTTTAGCTCTAACAGACAGACAAGAGAGTGCTTTGATTGAAATAATGCTTTGTACTATTAGACAAGCAGCTGAGTGTCATCCTCCTGTGGGAAGAGGGACAGGAAAAAGGGTATGCCAATGTTTTTGTTATTCTGAACTTCATTTCTCAATTTTTTGTATGTTTTTTTATGCCTATTTTGACCATCGAACAAAAATACTTGATTTTTAGTTTTACTTTTGTGTGCATACAAAGATATGTATACACATACATTCATATATATGTGCCTATATATAAGTAAATACTAAAGTAGTAGCAAATTGAGGAATTTGATTTTTCATAAGATCTTTTGTTGATACATGGGATGACATTGAATGACACTATCTTCAAGGCTAATCGTAGTCTCTACATGTAGAGTACTGCATGTGTGTATTGGGTTTATTTATAAATTCATTTTTTATTATAATATGAGATTAGAAATGAATTAGACATTATTAATAACAATGGTGACCTAATTCCTATTGGCAGTTATCAACTTTTAATAATTTACTGAGAAGTTCACCAATTTTGGCAACTTCATAGAATTTCAAATGTTTGATTTTAAACCACCAAAATGCATTTTTAATATTTTAATTGCAAATATATGTGTATATATGTGTAACAAAATTTCATGAAATAATGCCAGTATGTGATTTAATCTCTGTATTTTTTTCTGTTTCTGTTATTACTCATTTTTTTAATTATTTAATCATCTTTTTTGCAGTGCCGTGGAATGAAACCAGGGCATTGTGCATGCTAGGCAAGTGCTCTACACTGAGCTACATCCCTAGCCCTTATTTCTGTTTTTTCTTTTTCTTCATTTTGTTTTTATTTTCTATGTTATATTTCTGTTTTTCTAATTATGGGCAGCAAATTAGAATTCTGAACTGATTACCTATGTCTCATGGGCCATAACATGGAGTAAGTTAAAATGCTGTTTAATATTATTATGTAAGCTTAAAAAACATATTTCATGTTCTTAAATATTTCTCTTCCTATCCAAAGGTAAACTTGAAAAATTGTCTTGAAATTTAAAAAATAAATTGGTGTTTATTTGTACACCCTGGTGTTTTTATAAAGCTATATTTTCATACAAATATATAAAATCCTTTGGCATTCCCCCCATCTCCTTCTCTTGCTATTCCCATTATTTCCCCCAGATACTATTGCTTCTACTCGCATGTCCTATATTCATATATGATATTATATACTTACATAAAATCTAAGATTCATAACTGAGTAAAAACATACAGTATTTGCTTTTCTGAGTGTTATTTTGTATAGTATCTCCAATTGAACTTATTTTCCTGCATTTAATATACCTCTGTTATTTATATCTGAAGAAAACTTGTTTGTGTATATTTGTCCTATTTTCGTTACCCATCATTTGATGATGGACCTCCAGAGGGATTCTTTAACTTGACTCTTGTGAATAATGGTGCAGGGAGCATCAATATGGAAGTTTATCCATGAAAGGTTGTTACTTTAAAATGTTTTAGTCATATAGCCAGTAATTCATAGTTGTGCTATATGGTAGTTCTATTTTCAATTTTTTAAGAAACCTCTCTACTGATTTCATAGTGGCAATATTATATTCTTCAACTTCAGTGTATATATGTCCCATTTTTAATATTATTGTCAACATTTGTTAAGTGTTTTTTAAAATGATAGCTATTTTGACTTACATGAGATAGAATCTCAGTCTTAATTTGTCTTTCTTTGAAGGACAGGTTATTTACTGACTGTACTTCATGATTTGAGAACTGTCTGTTCATTAAGTTATCCCATTTATTGGCCAAACTTTTAAAAATATTCTTTTGAATTAATTATATATTTTATATATTAGTCTTCTGTCAGATTTGTGGCTAGTAAAGCTTTTCTTCCATTCTACAGGTTGTCACTTCACTCAGTTTTTTTTTTTTTCATTTTAGCTGAAGAAGTTTTTAATTTTACATAGTTTCATTTTTCAGTTCTTGGATTTATGTCTTGAGCCATTTGATTCCTTTTCAGAAAGTCCTTGCCATACCTTGAACTATTTTCTGTTTTCTTCTAATCGCTTCCAACATTAAGGTCCTCGGTCTACTTTGAACTGATTGTTGTACTGAGATACAGATATAGCTTTAGTCATTTACATGTGGATATTCAGTTCTCTAAGCAACATTTATTGAAGGTGCTATCTCTTTTACATTCTATTTTCAGACATTTTTTTCCAAAATCAAGTGTTTGTAGGTGTGTGTTAGTGTTATAAGTGTTTGTCTCTCAAGCCCTCAATTCCACACCATTGTCTGTTTTGGAACTAATACTGTTTTTTTTTTTTTCTTTTTTTTTCTTTTTTTTCTCTACCTCCATAGTCGCTCTTGAAAATTAGGTGTGTTGATAATTCTGTCATTGTTCTCTTTGCTCAGGATTGCTTTGTTTCTTAGATGTCACTTGTGCTTTTGTTTGAATTTTAAGTTTATTTTCTTCAATTTCTGTGAAGAATGTCATTGTAATCTTTGATAGAAATGAAATTGGTTTGTAGATTTTTTTTTTGGCAATAAAGCATTTTTCATAATGCTAGTACTACCTATTCATGAACATAGGAAATCTTTCCATCTTGTTGTGTGTCTTTAAACTCCCTCCCTCCTTTCCTACCATATTGAAAAAACAAAGTTTTATGGCATTCTTCCTTATCCTTCAGCTTATATTCATTCTGTTCTTTCTTCTACAATGTTCCCTGAGCCTTGAAGGGAACAGTACAGATGTCCTGTTTATTGCTGTGCATTCAACAGTTATTAATTTGAAATCATTTTAAAAATTTCTTTCTGTTGAAAAAAATTTTTAGTAGACATCTCTGACATCCATTGCTAGGTTTATTTCCAAGGTACTTTGTTTTTTGATGCTCATTAGAATGGAATTTTGTTCTTGATTTCTTTATTAGGTGTGTTTGTTACTTGTATGCATGAATGATATTAAATTTAATATGTTGATTTTGTATTCTCTATTGCTGAAAGTATCAATTCTAAGATGGCTTTTTTTGGTGATCTCTAGGATTTTTACAAACATGATCATATCATCTGCGAATATAGACCATTTGACTAACTACTTTTCTATTTATATCTTTTATTTCTTTTTCTTTTTTATTGCTGTATGACTTCAAGCATTACATTGAATAAGAGTAGAGAAGTTATTTCATTGCTTATTTTACTGGAGGTGATTTGTGATTTTACCAGTTTAGTACAATGTTGGCTGTCACTTTTTAAGTTTTATTTTATTATTCTTGTGTATAGGTGAGTATATACCATGTTGATTGTGTGGAGCTCAGAGGACTACTTTGTAGAATCAGTAGTATCTTTCTACCTTTATGTGGATACCAGGGATTCCACTCAGGCTTTGCAGTTGCATGCCAAGCACCTTTACCGGCTGAGCCTTTCTAGCCTGTACTCTAGGTTTGTCGTATTGGCCTACATTATGTTGTTGTGTGTTCCTTGTAGTCATAGCTTTTTCAGAATTTTTGTCATGAGGAGATACTGGCCTTTGTCAAAAACCATTTCTACGTCTGTATATATATAATTTATGTCCTTGAGTCTATGTGATACATTGTTACATTTGTTTATTTGAACATACCAAATTATCCTTGCATCTGTGAAATGAATCCTATTCATGTTTATATCTAATTCACCAGTGTAATTGACCTAAAGTTTTCTTTTTTGTGTGTTTATTTTACTCTGGTTTTGATAGTAGAATAACTGGCTTCACAAAATGAGGTTAGTGTGTTCTTTTCTTTTTCTGCTTTGTGGAATAGTTTTAGGATCATTGGTCTAGATTTCGTTGGAAAACTTATTACAGCTTGAGCCTCATTGTTTGTTACCGTTCTGTTTAAATTGTTCGTCTACCCTTGGAATTTGTTTTTGGAAGTTCATAGATGTGTAGAAGTTTCTCAGTCTCTTATATATTTTCAAATTTATTGGAATCTGTTTTTAAATATTCCCTGATGACTCTTTTAATGTCAGTACTATCTGTGGTGATGTCTCCCTTTTTTATCTCTAGTTTCATTAGTAGCATTTTTGTCTTTCTTTTGGTTTAGCTAAAGATTTGTCTACATTATCTTTTTAATGAATAATTTTATTCTTTGTTGATTCTTTGCATTGTTCATTTTTTTAAAGATTTTGACTTACGTGTATGTGTTGGCTATACATGTATATATGCATCAATGTGAGTACAAGTACCCACAGCGGCTAAGGTTTCAGATTTCATGGGACTGGATTTGCAGGCAGCTGTTTCCCACCTGATGAGGTACTGGGAACAGAATTTTCATTCTCTGCAAGAGCAGTTGCTGTTCTTAAATGCTGAGCCATCCATCACTCCAGCCTCAGTTCTGATCTGTTGCTATTTCTTTCTATCTACTGATTTTGGGTTTGGCTTGTTCTTCTTTTACTGTATCCCGAGTTCCTTGAGATCTATATGATTTTTTTTTTTTTATGTTAAGCATTTGTGGCTATAAACTCATCTCAAACTGTTTTCTTTGTGTCCCTCTAGTTCTGGAATGGTGTGTTTTCATTCTTATTGTATTCTGTAAATTTAAATTTTTCTTTCTTTCAAAACCAAACAAAGTAAATTTCATTTCTTTGGTGACTGATTCATCAGTAGTTCCTTGTTTAGTCTCCTAAGTTTGTATTGATTGGTTAATGGTCCTCCCTCCTTCCCTCCCTCCCTCATTCCTTCTCTCCCCTCTTTGTTGATGAGGTTGGGCTGTTGAATTCTCACTGTCTTGATGTCAGTCTTTCCTCTACGTTCAGTTGTGTTGTTTTTATGAAATTGGGTGTACCAGTTTGTTTACAGTTCTTAAATCCTTTGATTCTTTCTTTAATATGAAAGTGATTAATTTATTGTAGCTAATGTCAGTTTTATCTGATGTCAATATGGCTAGCTAACCCTCTTTTTCCCTACTTCCATTTACTCAGATTGCTTCCTTCCCCTTTTTCTCTGGGTTTTACTTGTTTTTACTATTTAAGGTGGCTTGCAAAGCTGTGCTGTTTGGAAGTAGCCAATAAACAGGTCCTATTTTTAGTCAAATCTGGTAGTCTGTATTTTGTTTGGAGAATTAAGGAAACCATTACTGTGAGATTAGTGACTTTGAGGACTCATGTTTCCCTGGATTTTCATGTGTACTGTGTTTCTGCACTCATATTTATATATTTGAATTAGCTTGTTAGTGAGATCATCTTTATTCTTTCAGTTTACATAAAAAACAAAACAAAACAAAATGTTTTAGTAGGACAAGATTGTAATATTTAGCCGACATGCTCAGGGTACATGACCTAAAGCACTACTACTGTAGGAGAACACTAACTGCCGTAGCTACCCTATCTAATGATGGACAGGCCTGGTGTGAACATAAAGTAATAGTTGAAAACAATTTCTTTTTCAAAACCAGCAACTTTTGGCGAGTAAAAGAACAATGATAGAATAGTGTGCAGTTGGCTATTAGTTACTGAGAATAGGAATGTAAAGAAAATAAGCTTTGTAAGATCAAGAATTAGTTTAACAGAAATAAAAATGTACTGGAAATGGGACAAATAGACACAAGGAATTGAAAGATTGTTAATGTAAATGAATTTTTAAAGATCATTAAAATAATAAAAAATTATAATTAAATATATTTACTTAATTTTAAGGTTGAGATGTGTGAAACAGTTAACTCTGGCAGTGTGAGAGTAATCAGCCTGTGTCTACAGCTGAAAGGTGCTCAGCCTGATTGATCTGTTTGAGTGTACCTCAGTGGATTTCAAACAGGTTGTCAATAGGATTAAACTTCTACCCTGGTGTCGGCCTTCACATGGGAGGGTATCACCTCAGTTTCTGAGCCTCCGACTTCCTTTCATATCTTGAATTTACCATTGCAGTTGGAAATTTCTTTATTAAGATCTGAGTCACACCTTGATTTTGCATTCTCTGCTGAGTTTCAGTTAAAAACTCAGTTTCTGTGGAGTGTTCACCTAGTTTCTGGTTAAAAACTCAGTTTCTGGTCTTGTCTCATGGAAGTTAGGAGTGCTGTTGGACTTTGGAAACATGTTTGTGCAGTATTTTCTACTCTTCTAGCCAAGTAGTTTAATCGCAGAGATTTGATATCTGCTTCCTTCCTCATTATCTGGTTTCATAGGTACTGTTGACTATAAGTGGCAGTAATTTCTGGGAGTTGCTGTTTTTTTTTTTTTTTTTTTTTTTTTTTTTTTTTTTTTTTTTTTTTTTTCATTTAAAAATTTTGTGGATTTTAACTTCCCTGCCGCTGAAGCTTTTTCTGTCTCTTTTATTTTTTGGATCTAATGGTGGTTTATGAGGGCGAATTTCTCTATTCCCTACTATTCATGTTCAGAGCTCTATTATAGTCTGTAATATCCTTATGAATGTAATGCTCATTAATTCTGTATTTTATCTAATCTTTCATAAGTCTCCTGTTCACAATTATCCTCCCTTGACATTCTGTACTTCTTACCTTTTTTTCCTCCCAGACGTGTGGGAGACTTTGGAGAGTGCTGCTTGCCCCTATTCCACCTTTTTTTCCCCTAATTGGAAATTGATCTTCATTCTAGGACTATTCAACTTTTTTGTTCTATGTGGTATTTTATGTGTGTCTCCCCTACATTTTTTTTTTATTTTTACTTATTTACTACAGTGTCTTGCTATGTAACCCTAGCTAGTTGACTTGGTATTCACTAACTAGCCGCACAACGGCCTTGACCTTACTATTATTCTCTTGCCTTAGTCTCTTGGGTACTCTGCACCGAATTGTTCCCTCCTTAATAATGAGTAAATTGTTTTGTATTACTTTTAGGGCAAAAGTTTTATATTAGGGGATTTTTGACTGGACATGTTGGCATTTAATGATAATTCAATGATTTTAGTGGCGGAAAAGGAATGAATTGAGACCAATGTGGACCATAATAATGCAAAATTCTCAAAATTCTTATATCCATCATTTAAAATACTGCTATATTTTTTGTATTAATTAAATTTGCGAGCTTAACACTGTTATTGAATAGATGTTTATAGAAATTTTTGTGTTACTTTAGGTGCTAACAGCAAAGGAGAAGAAGACACAATTGGATGACAGAACAAAAATCACTGAACTTTTTGCTGTGGCCCTTCCACAGTTATTAGCAAAAGTAAGATTGTGTTGATAACTTAGCATCTCTCATAAATCACAGATTCTTTCAAAATAGCCACAGCCTATGGTTAGTTAGCATTATTATAATGTTTTTAACATTATCTTTTTTTTTCCTCCAAAAGTACTCTGTAGATGCAGAAAAGGTGACCAATTTGTTGCAGTTACCTCAGTACTTTGATTTGGAGATATACACCACTGGACGATTAGAAAAGGTGAAATGTTTTTTGTGTATAAAATCTTAGAGGAGAAAATGCTATTTTAATTTACCATATCATACAGTTTTTAATATTACAGATAATGTTTTTGTAGTATTTAGAGGGAACCTATATATACTAGGTCTTTTATATTTTAGACCAATTTGATTTAGAAAATGGTACAAATGAACTTTACCTTTCCTTTATGCCCATAGCTTTACTTTCATTCTTATATACAGTGTAGTACTATATATCATTGGTCATTGATGCTTTATTGTCATGAATTATTCAACAGTAACAATTGTAAAATAAGTTTATCTAGTAGTTACATGTTCCTATAACCACTGAGAGCTCTTTGTACATGTTAACATTCTGACCAAACAGAGCCCTGTGAGACAGGTGATATTGTTTGCATTAAAGTTGCAGAGATGTGCCAAACAATGTATTTGATTACTAAAATTAGACAACTCTCTGAAATACTTAGTGTATTTAAAAACTGTCAGAGTTAGTGGTATGATATAATCACAATATACCTACTATAGATTTCTTAACAAGGATTATACACAATGGGCATACCTTCTACTCCTGAGCTATATCCTTAATCGTATACCTTATTAGTTTAATGCAATGAATTTTATTTTGCAGCATTTGGATGCCTTATTGCGCCAGATCCGAAATATTGTAGAGAAGCACACAGACACAGATGTTTTAGAAGCATGTTCTAAAACTTACCATGCATTATGTAATGAAGAGTTCACCATCTTCAACAGAGTAGATATTTCAAGAAGTCAGCTGATAGATGAATTGGCAGATAAATTTAACAGGCTTCTTGAAGACTTCCTGCAAGAGGTATGTATTACAAGTATTTTGTTTCTTGAATCATTCCTTTCTAGTACCAGAGACACTCAGCATTAGTCTGATAATCCAGTGGTGTGCTAGTGAGTCCTTTTAGAATCATTGTTCTTACATTAAAATAAGAAAATGGCAAGGAAATGTAACTTTAAAAAGATGTAGATAAAACTAGCATTTTTTTTCCTTTTGTTCTAAGGAAATTAAGTGGATAGTTCCCTGATTTTAGTTGAAAAAGTGGCTATTAGAGTTGCTATTATGGTCACTGTTGGCGTTTGGAGTTTCTTATGTTGTTCTTTCAAAGATGCTTATTGCATTGGCACTCAAATATTCATGTATTTTTGGTATAATTTTGTATGTGTGTGTGCGCGCGTGTTTTAATTTATTTGCATCAAATTAAGTTATAATCATTATTTCTCTTAGCTTTATTTTTTTTATTAAGACGGGCTTTCACTGTGTAGACCAGGCTAGCTTCCAACTCACACAGCAGACATTTACTCTCGATACTGTTTCACAGCAGCTAGAAATTGTGAACTTTTTTTACATCCAGTAGCAAAGTGGATGTAGTGGCTAACAATTATAATAACCGTATCACCCTGGAACCTGAGGCAGAGGGTTGTTTTTAGTTTGAGGCCAGTTCAAACTACATAGTAATGAGTAGGCCAGCCAGAGCTTCAGTCTAAGACCTTTTACATACTACCTTTTTTATTAATGACCCCAAAATCATTTATGTATAATTTTGAGATTTTCTCTTTTGTAAAATTATTAAACAGTTTATGTGTAACATTAATTTAGGTTTAAGGTTTTCTAATTGGAATAATTTACAAATATGTTCATATATAGTTATCACATTTGGAAACATTTTAATGGCTCTTTTCTTGATTGAGTATGCCTGTAGTTAATTTTAAATCAATGGTAGTTTAATAACTAAGTTTTGTTATTTTTAAGAAAAATTAAAGTATAAAATGGTATGTCTGTGAGCAACCTAGATTTCATTGCCATAGAAAATAGGGGTCATAAAAATTATCCAAAATGTGAGTAGTCAGAACTAGTATATGTCATAGGTTTTCTCCCAATTATGTGTGATTGGTTCAATATCCTTTTCTCTTGAACTTAATCCCTTTCTAATTTACCGAACTTTGCTTTAGGTGGTGTTGTGGTCTCTTGGTTATCATCTAATGTGTGTTCCTTTATTGATAGTGCATCTAGCACTGGGAAATAGGAAAATTTAAAATAGTTTCATGTCTGTATTACATAATAGGAGAAAGGTGAACAATCTTATTTTTTCCATCTTACTCATTATGTACTTATGTTTATAATCTTAGGTTGACTCAGCAACATTGTCTGAAATTTGGCAGATATAGGTCTTTAATGATGAAGCCTCTTTTTGGGTTTTTATTTTGCTATTATTGCCTTCTAAGGTGATATCATCATTTCAGTAGCCTAGGATTTATTACTTGGTAGTTCCTCATTTGATCTGTACCAAAATGACTGAAAAACAATTTTACTTTGGTATCATGTTTTTGTATGTGGTTTGAGACAGAGTTTCACTATGTTAGACCATGTTGGTTTTGAACTCAGAGGCCTGTTTCTGTCTCCCAAGTACTGGAATTAAAGGTACCACTATGCCAAGCTTCTTCTTCCTATTATTATTATTATTATTATTATTATTATTATTATTGTTGTTGTTGTTGTTGTTGTTGTTATTATTATTATTATTGTTATTGGTTTTATTTTGGTTTTGTTGTTGTTATTTTGTTTTGTTTTGTTTTTGAGACAGGGTTTCTCTGTGTAGCGTTGGCTATCCTGGAATTTACCATGGAGACCAGGCTGGCCTCAAACTCACAGAGATCCACCTGTCTCTGCCTCCCTGAGTGCTGGGATTATAGGCGTGTGCCACCACTTGGCCAATTATTTTGATATTTCTTAATGTGCAATTAATAATTCATAGGGAGAAGAACCTGATGAAGATGATGCATATCAGGTATTGTCAACATTGAAGAGGATCACTGCTTTTCATAAGTAAGTTTAATCTGAGTTTCTGATTTTTTTTAACACTATAGCAAAGTGTCCTTGTATATTTTGTGGATTACTATGATTTCAAATAAATTCTCTCTTTTTTTAAATAAAGAAATCACTTGATAGGGGCATGTTGTACTCTGAAACAATTATGGTCAGGCTTAGCTTTTAAAAATACAACTTAATTTGTATTTTTGTTTTGTTTTGTTTTTTTTTTTACAGTGCCCATGATCTTTCAAAGTGGGATTTGTTTGCTTGTAATTACAAACTTTTGAAAACCGGAATTGAAAATGGAGATATGCCTGAGCAGGTTATTTATTTATTTATATACATATATACACACATACATATCTGTGTATATATATATATATATATTATATATATATAATATATATATTATATATATATATAATATATATATATTCAGTATGTACATATACCGAACTTTGACAGCAAAAGCTTGTGACTTATATTTCACTTTGAATCTTGTTTCTTCTTTTTTTATAGATTGTTATTCATGCACTGCAGTGTACTCACTATGTAATCCTTTGGCAGCTTGCTAAGATAACTGAAAGCAGTTCTACAAAGGTATGTGGTAGTTCAGTGCTGTTTTTAGTAAATATTTCTATTTTTAGCAAATTTATACTTTTAATAAGAGTAATTCAGTGAAGTTACACTTATTACTAATTTACTATATGTAGTCATGTTTCTAGTTTGACTATTTATTGAAAGAACATTATAGATTTTATGTCACAGTATGATTTTTAATTAATTTTTTTTTTAATGGAAAGATAACTTACTTTGACTTTCCACATTCTCTAAATTGTTTACCAGACATAAGAAGGTAATTAAAAAAAAAAAAAAAGATTTATGTAGTTACGTGTATGGGCATTTTGCCTGCATTTATGTATGTACACCAGAAGAGGGTGCGATGTCTCACCATAGATGTTTGTGATCTACCATGTGGGTGCTGGGAATTGAACTCAGGACCTCTGGAAGAGCAGCCAGTACCCTTGACTGCTGATCTGTATCTCCAGCCATAGGAAGATAAATTTCGTAAAACATAATTGAGTACATTTGACTTAGAATGTTAAAAACAGTTGTACAAAGCAAGTATATTACATAAACTAAAGACAATGAACTGGGTTTCTCTATATCATCTTATGCCTTGAATTTTTCTTTTTTTCATTTTCTTTTGTTTTTTGAGACAGTGTTTCTCTGTGTAACCCTGGCTGTCTTGGACTTGCTTTGCAGATCAGACTGGCATCAAACTCACAGAGTTCCACCTGCCTCTGCCTCCCCGAGTGCTGTGATAAAAGGCATGTGCTACCATGGCTGGCTGCCCTTAGTATTTCTTAAGTTTTCAAGGATTCTCAAATTCATGGTTTTTAAGGTTTACTAATTTTGAGTTAATGTGTATCAGTGTGTTACCTGCCTGCATGCATTTGTGTCACTTGATTGTTTGGTGGATCCCCAACGAGGGATTACCAATGCTTGGGGGACACCATGGGAATGGAATCCTGGTTCTCTTTAAGAGCAACAAGTGCTCTTAGCTACTAAGCTATCGCTCTAGCCCCCAAGATAGTGTTTAATATTTGAAGTGAAGATAAGAATGTTAATTTGACTCATTTTTTTAAAACTATTAAGATATTACTGGGACTTAAAGATTAGGCTATTTTTTTTTTCTGAAGAAGGAATTTTCCTATTTTACCTTTTCTCCTATTTATTCATTTTATATGTGTACACGTAAGGGACATTTTAAAGTTTGCTAACACCACAAAACTGAGTTTTCAAAATGTAGGACCAGTAGCTTTCAAATAAGAAATGCAAGAAAACCTGCTTATTTTCTTCCATGAATTTGTCACGTTCAAATAATATAAAGTGAACATGGATCATGGTTATTTACTCTAAACCTTCTGAGCTGGCATTTTAATTAATGTAAGCTGTATATAATTATGAAAGTTTTCCCAGAATATTTAGGATATTATTAATATACCTATTAATATTTTTAATTTTTTAAAATTTTATTTTTTTTTTACTTTGTATCCCAGATGTAACCTCCTCTCTCGTCCCCTCTCAATCCTACCCTCACTCCCTCTTCGTCTCCTGTTCACCTTTCCAAGTCCACTGATAGGGGAGGTCCTCCTCCTCTTCCCTCTGAACACCTATCAGGTCTCATCAGGACTGGCTGCATTATCTTTCTCTGTGGCCTGGTAAGGCTGCCCCCCACCCCCTTCAGGGGGATGTGATCAAAGAGCTAACCACTGAGTTCATGCCATAGACAGTACCTGTTCCCATTACTAGGGAACCCACTTGGACACTAAGCTGCCATGGACTACATCTGAGCAGGGGTTCTAGGTTATCTCCATGAATGGTCCTTGTTTGAAGTACCAGTGTCAGAAAAGATCACTTGGCCCAGATTTTTTGGTTCTGTTGCTCTTCTTGTGGAGATCCTGTCCCCTCCAGGCCTCCCTATCTCCCTCTTCTTTCATAAGATTCCCTGTGCTCTGCCCAAAGTTTGGCTATGAGTCTCCACATCTGCTTTAATACCCTGTTGGGTAGAGTCTTAGGAATGAATACAGAAATTGAAGTACATTTACATAATGAAATACTATTCAGCAATTAAAAACAAGGAAATCATGAAATTTGCAGGCCCATGGTGGGAACTAGAAAAGATCATCCTGAGTGAGGTAGCTATTAATTTTTAAGTTTTTGTATTTCTTTGCTTTTGTTAGCTTTTGCATAAAGTAAGTATAAGATAATCGGTTTCTGTGTTACTTTTCATTCATTCATGTGTATCATTGTTCTGGTTTGCTTTGTATTTCTGTGGTAAAAACCATAACCAAGAGCTACTTGAAGGTGGACAGGCTTTATCATATCTTATACATTCAGGTCAATTGAAGGAAATCACGGCAAGAACTTCCGTAAAAACTAGGGAGGAATACTATTCACTAGCTTACTCTTTGATTCTCTGCTTCAGCCAGCTTTTTTTATACAGCTCCAGACCACCTCCCCAAGGATAGCACCAACCACAGTGGGGCTGCCCTTCCATATCAAACATAACTAAAGGCCATTCTGATTTTGGCAGTTAATTCCCCCAAGTGTTTCAGGGTGACAACTATAGTCAAATTGGACAATTGTACTTCGCTTATAATCCCTACTCCCAAACTCATCATCTTGTTTCCTCTTTGCACTCGGTCTTTTCCCCTTTCTTCTCACAAATATTCTTCGTTTTCTTTTCATGCTTTTTTTTTGTATATACATGAATGAATGAGTGTATATTTAAATCTATATTCTGTACATGAAAAAGCACATACAATATTTTTCATTCTCTTCCCCTTGCCTTATCTTTTCTTCTTTCTTCTTCCTTCCTTTGAAGCTATTCCTTCACCAACTGAGTTACAGCTGTGTTTAAATATGTATACATATGCATGCCTATCATTATTTTAGTGTGGAGTGTTTAATTTGATTGTAGATTAACTTCATATTACAGTTGTTCACTGTCATTGTTACTTTTTGACTCTCATAGTAAACTAATTTATACAAGTTATATACATAAAATTATAGAAGTAGACTGATGAATCAACCAAGTACCATGCACTGAGATAACCTAGACCTTCTGCTAGCCCTTGGGCAGCTCATTTTCCATGGAGGTTCCCTACAAGGGAAACCAGGGTAGTCTCTGGCATGAACTCAGTTGCCTGCGCTTTGATCAATTCCCCTTGGTGAGGTGGCCGTATTAGGCCACAGAGAAAGAAGAACCAGACAGTCCTGAAGAGACTTGATATTCTAGGGTCAAATAGTAGGGAGGAGGACCTCCTCTATCAGTGGACTAGGGAAAAGACATGGGAGGGGGGAAAATGAGGGAGGGTAGAAACAGGAGGAGTTGAAGGTGGGTTATATAGCTGGGATACAAAGTGAATAAATTCTAATAAATAATAGTAATATTAAATTATTGAAGTAGTTTCTGAAAGCAGTATTTGTATAACAGGTATAGATGCTGCATATAAGAGTAAACTGGAATATTTGTCGTTCTGAATCTGGCTTATTTCTCTTAACACAGTGGCCTCCAGTCTACCTGTATTCCTGTAAATGATACAGTTTTATTTTTATATGTACACACTTCATTTTCTTTACCTATTCATCTCTCCTTGGACATTTAGACTGGTTTTACTGCTTAATCATGGAAGTAGTTCAGAAGTAAACATGGATGTGCAATTATCGCTACAGTATGCTGACTTAGAGTATCGCTACAGTATGCTGACTTAGAGTCTTTTGAATGTTGCTTAATAATATTTGCTAAGTACTTTGAAGTGTACCTTGTGGAGATTTGAGTGGGGGAAGAAATTATTTGCCTTCTTTTATAACATTATAAAGAATACATTTAAATTAAAATTTCAAGTAGAGCAATACAGTTGTATCCATGATAATGTTTATGTTACTAAGCATTTTAAAGAGGCACAGAACTGTGTGTAATGTTTTAAACCATGTTAAATTTTTTTTCAAGGAGGATTTACTGCGTTTAAAGAAACAGATGAGGGTATTTTGCCAGATATGTCAGCATTACTTGACTAACGTGAATACTACTGTTAAAGAACAGGTTAGTAATCACATGGCAATAGTGAATTGCAGGTAAGGAATTGCCTGGATCAGATTAAGAGATTATTCTGATTGATGGTTCATTTGGGATGGCCCAGTCCTCTGTGGGCAGTTCCATCCCAAGGTGGTGGGTTTTTAAATGACATGTTTAACATAAAAAGATATGTAAAAATTTTAATAGTAAGAAATATATAATATGCTATGGTAAAAAGAACCACTCAATATAGTGAACTTGTACATAATAAAATGAGTATATTCATTTAGTTGGAGTTTATATTGTGTATATCTGTATGTATGTATGTATGTGTGTGTGTATATATATATATATATATATATATATATATATATATATATATATATGACATCATATATAACCAACTAATACTGCTAAAAAATAAAGAACATGTAAAATTGTTGCTTGTAAAGTATTGCAAAAGCATTAGTAGTCATTATTTAAAAAAAATAAAACTTCAGCTTTGAAATGTTAACACACTAACTGAATTTGTTACTTTTAGATATAGAAAATTAGATTTTCCCCTTAATATGTTTTATTTTATTTATGGCATTTGATCAAAAACTTGACAACATTATCTCTTTTTATTTTAACAGGCCTTTACTATTCTGTGTGATATTTTGATGATCTTCAGTCATCAGATTATGTCTGGAGGACGTGATATGTTAGAGCCATTAGTTTATACTCCTGATTCTTCATTGCAGTCTGAGTTGCTGAGCTTTATTTTGGATCATGTCTTCATTGAACAGGATGATGATAGTAATAGTGCAGGTAATTTTATTCTCATCATGTTTGTGTGTGTGTGTGTGTGTGTGTGTGTGTGTGTGTGTGTGTGTGTATGTGTAATAGCAAATTTAGTCACATTCAACATGAAACCAGGTTTGTATTCTCTCATGTATGTACAATATGGTGTTGTGGAGTATATGTTTTCAAGTTAGGTATGTGTTTTTCACTAGTATTATCTCTGCATTTCTAGTTTGAATCTCTTTAACAATTGCAAAAATTGATTAAAATTGCGGAGGCCCATATTTAGAAAATTGAAGTTGAATGAGACCTTTATGATATTTTTTATTGTGTATTTATATATCATTGGCTTTCATATTTTATGATCATGTAATATTTGAAGGTTAGAAACAAAACTTTGCTTATGGGTACAGAAAGAATAATTACTATTCAATTATCAAACCAAGCCTTGTTTTAAGTTATTCTTCATATTCAGTAGCACTGACAGAACCCTTGTTTGAATATGAGGTCATGGAAACCCAAGTAATATTTGGTGCTTTCTTTCTGTTTTTTAATTGTTTTAAAGTTACGTTTGAAGGAAAATAAAACAAAGCCTTTCTGTTCTTATATGAACTCATCATTCTATGCCAGTTCCTAATTAATCATGAAATTAGATATTTGCCTTGAGGCCCATGTATAACAATATAAATCTTCTTGCTCACAAAATAAATAAAAAAAAATACATAGAATACAACTGGTAAGACCAGAGTAATCAAAACATTAAAAATCCATGTAGTTAACTTTTTATCAAGTGGGTCTACCCTTTGCTACTCCAGCTGTATTTATCTCAGTATATCTGTGAATGTACACAAATGTAGATGACAGTGTTAAAAGCTGGATAGCCCTCCATATTTACACTTTCAGTTTTTCACTTTTTATCTGCAGCTGTTCATTTAGGTATGCTTCTTATTATTCATTAGTCAAAGGCCTCCTGGTCAACAGGTTGCTAGATTTCTTGGATATTAAAAAAGTCACTGTCTTTTACCTCAAGAATTAAAATGGAAAAGAAAAGACATCTGAAATCAAATAGTTTTAGTGTATTTTTATAGGTAATGGAAGCTTTTATAAAGTGTGGCAATAAAAAGGAAGTTCAACTAAATGGTTGGTGACTTTAATAGAAGCTGACATCGGAAATGTGTATGAAAACATGAGAAAGTCTCTTTAAAAACTTATATGCAAAATCATAGTTGCTTTCTAAAATATCTTGGAAAAGTTTTAGTATACAACTTTTGTTAGTTGATAAAAAACTTTGACTTCATTTAGACCACTGCAAATCAAATGACAGCTTCAGTTTTGTATGAACGTCATAGACTTAAAATTTCCATCTTCAGGGCTTGGCCCCTTTTTTTTCTATTAAGCTTTTTAATTTTCATTTTTATATATTTGTTTGTTTATTTTTTTGAGACAGGGTTTCTCTGTGTAACCTTGGCTGTTCTAGACTTGCTCTGTAGACCAGGCTGGCCTTTAACTCACAGAGATTTACCTGCCTCTGCCTCCCTGAGTGTTGGGATTATAGGTGTGTGCCACTGCACCTGTGGAAAAATAGAAATTATTATACATTTGTTCACATTAACCCATCTTTGTCAAATTTAGCTGTATATTTTTTGAAAGAATTAAAACTCTAATTCATGTCCCTTCAACAGTATCATTATTTTTCCTTTTACCTAGACATAACAGCTATAAGTTTGTTGTATATCATATAGTTTCATTTTACTTGGAAGTTTCTGTTAAGTAGTACTGTATTGCTAACTTCCATATGAATACTGTTACGTTGAATGTTTTACAACATACTCTTAAATTTTGAGATAGTATTCAGTATTGACATGAATTGCTTGCTCTTTGATCTTTTCCCACTGGTGATACCAGGTGACAGATGAGGACCCAGGCAGTCTTGAGAGATATGATAAATCAGGGCCAGATGGCAGAGAGGGAGGATTCCCCTTTCAGTGGACTAAGGGAAGGGTATAAGGAGGAAGAAGGGGGCACAGAGGGTAGCACTGGAAGATGAGGGAATTAACTACAATCTGGATATAATATGAATAAACTGTAAAAAATTAAAATTATAAATGTTTAAAAAAGAATTGACCACTATACATTTACATTTCCTAATGTTAGCCATTTTGATTATTAATTCTAATTTTCCTCTGCTTATCATTTATTTAAATAAATAAGCTTATTTACTTAAAATACATGTAAGTGCTTTTATCATATAAAATCATAAGACTGAGTTTGGATTGTGTGTTGTTTTTGTGTAGTGTAATTTAGCCAAAGGTTGGCAAATAGTTGAATTGCTTAATCAGCCTACCACCAGCATACCATTTCCATATAATGCTTCATGTTGTAGACTGTGAGATAATTAATCTGTAATTTATATTACTCAGATAATAAGAACTGTATCCAGGGTGATTCATTGACAGTATTCAATAATAATTGTTGCTGACACTTGTGAAAGTCCCATGTTAGGCATTCTTCAAAATATTCAAATTCTTCTTCAAAAATCCTTAAAATAGAAGAGGAGAATTTTTTTAAGTTTTTTTGAAGTTTTTTTAAAGTTTTATTGAATATTACTAATTAATGACTGAAAATTATATTATGTAAAATGGTCCATTATAATGATAGACATTAAGAGACTAAGTTCCCACAATCCTTTCTAACCACTCCTTAGCGATATAAAGCCCTTCCTATAGACTTTATCTCTCAAAGATTGTAGCAATTCCAAAAAGTAGTACCCTGGAACAAGCCTTTGATCCCTGGACTTTGGGGGTTATACAAGATACAAACCATAGAAATAGAAGCAAAAATGATGAAAGTACCAGTTAGTGATAAAGACTTGGCCAATTGGGGCAAGTGGCTACAATGGTTGGAAGTTTTTATCTCAAACATTTTTGTTGTCAATTGTGGGCATATATTTTATTATATGACCAAGCTCTTGTGTACCTGTGTATTCAGTATTATGTAAGGAACCAGAAATGTGAGTTATCATATGAAAATAAAACAAATAATTTTTGGAAAATAAAAAAAAAAAGAAGAAATTTAGTTAAGCTGGGCAGTGGTGGTGCACACCTTAATCCCAGCACTTGGGAGGCAGAGGCAGGCAGATTTCTGAGTTCATAGCCAGCCTGGTCTACAAAGTGAGTTCAGTGTAGCCATGGCTATACAAAGAAACCCTGTCTTAAAAACACAAAAATAAGTTAGTTTATAACATCAGTATAATTTTTTTAAAACATAAGTAATACATTTTATTTTGTTGTGCAAGCAGCTTTGACATATTGGAGTATATACTTAAGAAAATTTTTGCTGATGTTCTATCTTAATTGAAATTTGATATTTGGGCTTTCAGGAATAACTTAGTGATAAGTGATAGAATGTAGACTAAGCATTCTTCATGTTCTACTTTCAGTCATTGGCACCTCCAAGTCATTGAGGTGGATAATTTCCTACTTGGCTTACCAAAGGCATTTTGTACATATTGGGAATCTTGTATTGAAAGGCTGACAGGAAATAAACCCACCAATTGTACACAAAGCATAAATGTCTAATAAATATATTGAAAAGATTAATTTCTCTATAAAGCACTAATAAGCAAACAAAACTGAAATAGTTGGGTCCTTTTGTTTTTGTTATGTGTCATAGTTTTGTTTATAATTTCATATTTAAAGTCTTTCCATAGGAAATTTCTTGTATGTGAGTGTGTTTCTATATTACTATATCTGTGTAATTTCAGTATATACATACATACCTCACATACCTTATACCTTGAGGCAGATATCCATTTTCATCTTTGCTGTATCAGGCTAGCTGACACTCTACACCTCCTGTCTCTGAGTAGCTGCATACTGGAGACAGAGAGGGGTGCATCTGATATACTTAGGGAATTCTAGGCCAGTCATGGCAATATAGTGAGATACTGTCTAAATGAAAAAGAAGAATGTATAAGAAAGAATCAGGGTGAGGTCATCTTTGGATATGATAGGTTTTCTGTGATTAATGTGTCTTCAATGCACAAAACGTTACCAACATTTGTTGAAATCGCAGGTCTTTTAACAAATCATCTTGTTAGGAAAATATAAGAATACATTAGATCTGTTTCTTTTCCATGATGATAATTTGATGTCTCAAAAAATATGGTGTAGTGGAACATTTGAGTAGTTGTAACTTTTAATTTTGCTTTTAATGTTTAAATTCTCAAATAAGAGGACAAGTGTATAGTATAAAATTGAAGTAGAATACAAGATGAATTGATTTTTGAATCTCCTCTCTTAGATGGTCAGCAAGAGGATGAAGCCAGTAAAATTGAAGCTTTGCACAAGAGAAGAAATTTACTCGCAGCATTTTGTAAGTTAATTGTATATACTGTGGTGGAGATGAATACAGCTGCAGATATCTTCAAGCAGTATATGAAGGTGAGGTTGAAATTGTATAATAGGATAGTTATTTCAAGAAATTTTAATATTGGATTGATTATGTGTGCTTCATTGAAAGTTTTTAAATATTGAATTACTTTTGTGTAGTATCGATGTTTATTGATATTTAGCATTTTGAGTAACATTTTCTCATATCTCTAGTTAATGAACATTTTTGTTTGTGATTATTTACGTTTTGAATGTTAGAAAATGATCTAGCCCATGTTAACTATAACCATAAGAAATTTCGTTCAAGATAAATACAATTCTTTAGCAATTAGAGGCTATACATAATTTTCAAAAATATATGTGAGGTACTCTCATTTTGAACCAGGACTAAAGGATAGTATTAAGTTTAGTAAATATGTGTCAATGTTAAAATGCTTTAAGTACTTTCTCAAGTGAAAACAAATTTTTTTTTTTAATTTTTAGTTACATTTTGTTAACTCTGTGTCCCAGCTGTATCCCGCTCCCTCATTCCCTCCCCAACCCCACACTCCCTCCCTGGTCTCCTCCCTGCCCCTTTCCAAGTCCCCTGATAGGGGAGGACCTCCTCCCCTTTCATCTGACCCTGTTTTATCAGGTATCTTCAGGGCTGGCTGCAAAGTCCTCCTCTGTGACCTAACAGACTGCTCCTCCCCTGGGGGGTGTCAAACAGCCTGCCCTTGAGATCCTGTTAGAAATAGTCCGTGTTATATTAAAGTCCTTTCTTCTCTTTGTTTATTTTATTTATCATCGATTTTTTTTGTCTTTCTGTCTGTCTGCCTGCCCACCCCCCCTCCCCTCCCTCCCCTCCCCTCCAATCCTGTACCCTACAGGTCTTTCTATCTTCCCCTTCTTTCAAGAGATTCACTGCATTCTGCCCAAAGTTTGACAATTAGTCTCAGGCATCTGCTTTAATACACTGCTGGGTAGAGTCTTTCAGAGGCCCTCTGTGATAGCCTCCTGTCCTGTTCCCTGTCTTCTCCTCTTCCGATGTTGTGCCTTTTTCCTTTCTGAGTGAGGATTGATCATCTTACCCAGGGTCGTCCTCCTTCCTTAGCTTGTTTTGGTGTACATATTTTAGTATGCTTATGATTTTTTTTTACGCTATAAGGCATACTCAATTTATTTTAATGAATTTTGAAGATTTAAGAGTTAATTTTAGATATTTTTAATTCAGATCAATTGTTTCCATCATGGTGAATATATTATCTTTGTATCTGCTCTCTTCTCAAATTTATTAAAAGGTAGAACTGAAAAATGTAAAAAGATATGTATATATTATTTGAGGATGGTTGTTCATGGCTTTAAGCCCAGCACTCAGGTGGTAGAGGCAGGCAGAGTTTGAGGACAGCCTGATTACAGAGTGAATTCTAGGACAGTCAGAGTTACTTAGTAAGACACTGTCTCAAAAAATACTACAATTTTTTTGTATATTCTTCCGTTATCTTTGATAGCTGTTTTTAGGTGTTAAAAACCCCTGTTTTTCATCTATCTATCTATCTATCTATCTATCTATCTATCTATCTATCTATCTATCTATCCATCCATCTATTTTTAACTTTTATTAATTACACTTTATTCATTTTGTATCCCCCCATAAGCCCCTCCCTCCCCCCTTTCTGCTTATGCCCCTCCCCAAGTCCACTGATAGGGGAGGTCCTCCTCTCCTTCTTTCTGATCTTAGTCTTTCAATTCTCATCAGAAGTGGCTGCATTGTCAGGGTTCTAGGTTATCTCCAGGGATAGTTCTTGGTTGGAGTATGAGTCTCTAGGAAGTTCCCTCTGTTCAAATTTTCTGGTTCTGTTGCTCTCCTTGTGGAGTTCCTGTCTTCTCCAGCTCTTACTATTTCCCACTTACATAAAATTCCATTCACTCTGCCCGTCAGTTGGCCATCAGGCTCAGCATCTGCTTTGACAGTCTGCAGGGCAGAGGCTTTCAAAGGCCCTCTGTGGCAGGTTCCTAGGTTGATTCCTGTTTTCTTTTTCTTCTGATGTCTATCCTCTTTGCCTTTCAGGATGGCGAAAAAAAACCCCTGTTTTAAATCAGAAAAATGCACATATATAATTTATAATGCAAAATTTTGGCATAATAATTTTCTTTTAAGTATTCATAGACTATTTGTTTCTAGAAGCCAAATTAAAAAGTTGTCTATATCTCATTAACAATTAGAGTAACTGATTATATTTATTGTCCTTTAAAACTTTTTTTTACCTTTGAAACTCAGTGTAACATAGTAACTTTTTAATACCATGCCCTTTTTGTTTAAACAGTTCAGAGCTTCCAAATTTTTTTAAAGTTAAAGATGATGTTTTAGAAATGACCTTAAACCTTCTTAGACCTTCAGCATATTATTATAAATTTCCCATTGTTGAAGGTACAAATACGTACTTTGTAGTTATAGAATTAACCTAAACTTCCTCTTATTGTCCAATTATTTTAAGAGATTTAATTCTAATTTGCATCAATTTCTTTTTCTAGTATTATAATGATTATGGAGATATCATCAAAGAAACAATGAGTAAAACGAGGCAGATTGACAAAATTCAGTGTGCTAAGACCCTTATTCTCAGTTTGCAGCAGGTAAGACTTGGAGTGTCAGCTTTACTTAACATAATTAACTACCAGTCATCAAAATTGTAACAATTGAAACTGACATATACAATAATATGACACACAGTTCATAAAAATAGAGATACAAAATATTTAATAGCACTAGTAGACAAAATATATTACATGATGTTTATACACATGTGGAGTGATTGAATTTGGCTAATTAACTCACTCGTTACGCCACAACTTGCAGTAAGATCATTTTAGTCCATTCTGAACCATTTATTCTCTTTCCTTTTTCTTCTTAGTGTATACTTATGTAGAGTGCATGTGTGCAGAGTTAAGTTAATTATTTTACATATTCATTATGAATACAACGAATACAGGAGTGTACTTAATGAATAATGATTTTTATTTTCCTTGGTATTTAGATGTCTGCCATTTTAATAGTGATATTTTTAAACAGATGTTGAGGTCTTTTATACCTTTTGTTATTATAAATAACATAAACATTTTATGTGTAATATTGTACATAAACATTCTTTTTGCTCAAGTCTTAGAATTGCTTAGTTACAGGATATCAAAATTCAAAAGCTTTTGCTAGCTTATGATGAAAGTTTATGATAAGAAGATCCATCACTTGGAGGTAAACAACTCAGTGGGTGACCTTCAGGAGATCCTGGATTTTATCATCAGCACCACAGAAACAGAGCATAGTTGTCTAATAGCATATAGTGGGTTTTCCTTTCCTTATGTTATATGTATTTGTGCCTAATTAATGTGAGCTGATTTGTATTTTGATAATATTTGCTTAAAGCGTTTAAAACACCAATATTTATTTTAAATATATGACGTGACACATTTGTGCTCATTTGTAGCATGTTTTTAAAATCTGTGTTTTAGGTATCATCAATGAAGTTCATCATTTATCTAACTTTTATATTTTAATTGGAAAATGTGCTTAAAACATGTTAATTAATATTTATCAAAAAATATTAACATTGCCTTATTTTTTTCCAAACAGCTTTTTAATGAGATGATACAAGAGAATGGCTATAATTTTGATAGATCGTCTTCAACATTTAGTGGCATAAAAGAACTTGCTCGACGATTTGCTTTAACTTTTGGACTTGATCAATTGAAAACAAGAGAAGCCATTGCCATGTTACACAAGTAACCAGTCTTCTAATACGTTATTCAGAGCTTGTATTTTTTGTGACACTTGATTTTATGTCTATCCTTTTGTTTGGAATGGCTGATTAAATTACCTTTAATATTGGTTTATAAACCTCTTAAGTTGAAGAACCTATTGTAGTGCCCCCTCCCTTTAAATATACGTGTGTGTGTGTGTGTGTGTGTGTGTGTGTGTGTGTGTGTGTGTGTG